TCAGAATCCATGCCGTTCACCTGTCAGAGAAAGTAAAAGAGGGTGGAGGATTATGTCAGAGATTTTTATAAACTGTATTTGGGAGTGGAGTACTTACTCTTAGAGGAAAACGGAAGAAATTTGCATGGCTTTGAGTTTGTTGATGAATTTTTAGATACTATAAAAAAGGATGGTCTCGATCTCCTGACCTCGTGATCCTCCTGCCTTGGCCTCCCAAAGTGCTGGGATTATAGGCATGAGCCACTGCGCCCAGCCTCTACCAAGTTTTTAAAAAGAACTAGTACAAATTAACACATTTTTTTTTCTGGAAAGTATGAGGTTGGAATACTACTTAATTCATTTTATGAAGCTAGCATATTCATATGAACACTACCTGATTCATTTATAAAGCTAGCATTAACCAAAACCATATAAAGACATTACCGAAAAAGGAGAACTGTAGAGCAATACCTCTGATTAATTGAGACACAAATCTCCTTAACATATTTTAACAAATCAAATCCAGCGATACATATGAGGAAAAATATAATGTGACCAAATGGGGTTCATTCCCGGAAGGCAAGGCTGATTCAACATTTATAAATACTGATGTATATAATTCATCCTATTAACAGTATAAATAAGAAAAAATATGATCATGTCAATAGATGTAGAAGATACACTCCACTCAACAAAATTCAACACCCATTCACGATATACAGACTTGAAAACCAGAAATAGCAGGGATCTTCCTTAACCTAATAAAGTGTTTATATGAAAAATGCACAGTTAACTTTATTCTAAATGATTAGAGAAAGAATGCTTTCCCTCTAAAATCAAGACAGCATGATGCTGGTGAAAAAGTAGCCACATAGATCAATGGAGTACAATAGAAAACCCATAAATGAATGAACACAAATACTGTCAATGGATTTGTGGCAAAGGTGCAAAGGCAATTCAGTGGTGAAATAATACTTTTTTGCCAGGCGCGGTGGCCCATGCCTGTAATCCCAGCACTTTGGGAGGCAGAGGCGGGTGGATCACGAGGTCAGGAGATCGAGACCATCCTGGCTAACATGGTGAAACCCCGTCTCTACTAAAAATACAAAAAATTAGCCGGGCGTGGTGGCGGTGCCTGTAGTCCCAGCTATTCGGGAGGCTGAGGCAGAAGAATGGCATGAACCCAGGAGGCGGATCTTGCAGTGAGCCGAGATTGCGCCACTGCACTCCAGCCTGGGCGATGGAGCAAGACTCCGTATAAAAAAGAAAAAAAAAGAGAATACTTTTTTAACAAATGATGGTGGAAAAATCGGATGTCCATATTCAAAAAGTGAACTTTCACACAGATCTCACATCTTACACAAAAAGTGACTCAAAGTGGATTATAGAACTAAATATAAAATGCAAAAGTATAAAACTCTTAGAGGAAAACGGAAGAAATTTGCATGGCTTTGAGTTTGTTGATGAATTTTTAGATACTATAAAAAACACAACCCATAAAAAATTGATAAATTGGACTTTATTAAAATTATTTTTTCCATCTGTGAAATTAACTCTTGAGGGAATGAAGAGACAAGCTTCAGCCTTGGAGTATATATTTGCACATCACATATCTGATAAAGGACTTGCATCCAAATACACAAAGAACTCTTACAATTCAACAAATAAAAACAAATAACCAAGTTCATAAGTAAGCAAAAGAATACCTTATAAAACATGTTCAAGAACCTGTGAATAGTGTACAGCAAGTCCTTGTTTTAGACTTTTTTCTTCATTTTATTATTCAGTATTTACACAGTTTGAAATATGAGTGTCTAGGAGCTGTCTTTTCTCACAAAAAAGAGGGAAGTGATCTAAAATCACGAAACTGAAGCCCGAGAGTAAGATTACACATTTTGCACACATGCATATCACTATTTTTCATTCTAAAATGAGTGTTTTTCTAGATCAGAGAAATTTTATTTAATTCCATTTTGTAGGACTCTATAGCAGAGCCTCTTCGATATGAACCTGTTTAATTTGTATAATGTCGATAATTATTTTCCATTCACAATAACAACAACAAAGACTTTTTGTACTATATAGTCTTCAGCAACAAACTGCAGTCACTTGTCTCTAGCTCCAAGGTCTGTGAAGTAGAGTTTATCGGGCCATCTAGTGGCCACTACATCAATCAACAGCTTTTTGTATTTACTACTGTGAACAACTTTTATAGGCTTCACTACATTGATACTAAGTCTACAAAAGCTAAAACTAGGCCTCCCTGCAGACTGTCTGTAACTGTCCTGAACATAACAGAATTCATGACCCATATGTTTTGTTAACGTAACCATCGTACTGTATCTTTGTGGTTCTGCGCCTTACACGGGGCCCCGGTGGAGCTGTGGCGTCTTAGCAGAGGGCATTAGCTGCGGAATTTTGCCCGCACACCCTGACTCAAACGACGGATGAATAAAACGTACATTTCCATACAGATATTTTGCTTTGCCAGTCCAGCTGAGTGTCCGACTGCCTGCACACCAAGAGAGGTTTGTCACTGCTGCTGGTCCGGAGCAGCTTGCACTTCAGGCATTTATTTAGTATACAATTCACAACAGAAGCTTTGAGTAAACACACTGGAGGATAATTAACATGGTTAAGAGAGTAGTTTTACGAGCTTAGGTACCATGGTTTAAAGTAAATACCATAAGGGGGCAATTTCTCTGGTTGACCTCCCCCCATTCCCCCCACCCCCACCCCCCCAGGTACCTCAACCCCCCCACGCTCCCCCCGACAGATTAGTTAATGGAGGTACCGTAAACACACTTAACTGGGGAATCCTCTATTGTTCCTAGTATTTACCCTATGACCTAATGCTCTAAAGTAAGAACCGGCTGCCTTCAGCCTGTTCAATTACTACAAGCTATGTAACCTTTCGGCCTTCCAAAAGGTTTGTGACTATTTCCTATAACTTTCCCTAATATTCCCCTTTAATATTTTTGCCATCATCTTAAGTGAATCACAACATATCTTAATATAATTATTACATGAATGTATAGTCCGTATTATTTTTAGACCTGATTAATTGAATGTTTCAGTGGGATGTATCAATTTTTCCTCTTTCCATTATAATAATCTTGTTTAAGTCACTAACATGTCTTGCCTGGAAGATTATTATCTCCTAACTGGTCCCTTGTCATCCTCTCCGTATCCTTAAAATTCTTTCTCCAAAGAGTAACTCAATTAATCTTTTAAAAAAACATGTGTATCATAGTAAGATCATGGATTTTCTCTACTTAAAATGTTCCAATGAGGTTCCATCACAATTTTAATGAAATGTGAACTCTTCTTCACTGTCTATACAGTCCTATGGGATCTGGTCTCCACATTCCTCTTATAAACTTCATTTCCTACCACTCTCCCCTCCATTCACTAGAAACCAGGTATATTATTTTTTTGTCATTGTTGTGTGTTTGTTTCTTAAACACATTCTCCCAGACTTTGGGCTTTGGGTATGTTGTTTGTCTAACTGGAATAATTGGTTCCCACATACTCCCACATGAGTTGCTTCTTCTCTAAAACCATGGGTGGTTGCAGATCAAATACCATGCCCTCAAAAATGTATTCCTTCTTAGTTACTCAGAAATTCAACACCAGCTGCAATCAAAGAAACTCCCAAATCTCAGTGGCTTAGTTATATATTAATTAACCATGTACACTTCAGTATGGATAATGGGGAGTGAAGACTGAGAAGTTCTGTTCCATGAGCTATTCAAGGACTCACTTGGGCACCAATCCTTTTACGACTTGGCTCTCCTCCTGGTTCTCAGAATCCATGCCGTTCACCTGTCAGAGAAAGTAAAAGAGGGTGGAGGATTATGTCAGAGATTTTTATAAACTGTATTTGGGAGTGGAATACTTTATTTCTACCTATATTAGCTGGAATTCAGTCGCGTGACCACAACTAACTGCAGCTATGGATGGTAAATGTCGGGCAGCTGTGTGCCCAAGGGAAAACAGGGTTTGATGCAATCACAGCGTTTCCCTCTGCCACGTTAGCCCTTGTGTTTATCAAATATCTACTTTACCCTTCCTTTTAAATGTTGAACACACTCTCCCTAGAGGAGACAATCCAAAATTCACCTATGTATTGAATCCAGCTCAAAGTTCAGGATTTCAGAATTACACTCGGTCTTCTCCACCAAGTCCTGCTGTGGTTTGTCGAGGTCAGGGACCCAGGAACTAAAAAGATAAATTATGTTTCAAACAGCCAATAGAGGGGAGGCGAGAAATAACCATAGTGAAAATTCTCATTCGGAAAGGAAAAGGAGGCACTTTACCGTTATGGACTCATAGGAATTATGGAATCTTGCTGGTACTTGATGATGTGTCTGTGAAGCAAGTGGGAATTAGTATTCCAGAGGAGCAAATATATGGCACAGAATTGTAGTTGCTACCTTTTCAGGTGAGATGGGATAGAAATGGAGTCCCTGAAATAAGAAGTATGTTTCTGTACATTTCAATGCTGAACCAAGAAAGGACACATGGCTTGATGATACATTGAAATATTTATCTGGGTTTTTCACATTTTTCCTCTCCCTCTCTCCCATGTGTACTCTGAGGATCAGCACACTTGTAGACAGGAGTCACCTACTTTGAAGGAGCAACCAGAACTCTGACTCCAAAGAGTAAAACTTGGTATCTGAAAAGACAATGAAAAGAAATATTCGGTTTCACACTTACAGAGTTAGTTTTAAAATGGCCCTAAGAGGTGAAGAGAACATGCTGATGGAAGAAAGAAAGGAATGGATAAAATTTGATCTTGAGACATGAGGATAAAGCTGAGGTTGATGATAGGATACAAATGGATGTTCTTTTACAACACAAACCTTTTTTTTTCTTTCTTTCTTTCTTTTTCTTTTTTTTTTCCGAGATAGAGTCTCGCTCAGTCGCCCAGGCTGGAGTGCAGTGGCGCAGTCTGGGCTCACTGCAAGCTCCGCCTCTCGGGTTCACACCATTCTCCTGCCTCAGCCTCCCCCTGAGTATCTGGGAAGAGGTGCCTGCCACCACACCCGGTTAATTTTTTTGTATTTTTAGTAGAGACGGGGTTTCACCATGTTAGCCAGGGTCATCTCGATCTCCTGACCTCGTGATCCACCTGCCTTGGCCTCCCAAAGTGCTGGGATTACAGGCGTGAGCCTCTGCGCCCGGCCACACAAATCGTTTTTATAGCAGGATCCTGACTCAGTGCTCAGGTCTGTTTCTCCTGGGACTTTCTCTTGGGAGAAGTCAGCCCATCAGTCATTGAGCATCTTGTGCTTATCTGTCCCTTCCTTGTTTTGTATCCAGTGATTCTGGACACTTGTAGATAATTCTAGGACCAAGGGTGAGTTATTTGAATACAGTGGGAAATGGTAGCAGAATAAGCACCTAGTCACAGTCAGTTTAGAGTGACTCTTACAGAAAGTAGCCTCTGATTCAGCATGAAGAAACATCTATAAAGCAAATGAAAACAAAAAAAGGGGCAGAGGTTGCTATTCTTTCAGATAAAACAGTCTTTAAACCAACAATGATCACGAAACACAAAGAAGAGCATTACATAATAATAAAGAGTTCAATTCAACGAGAAGATTTAACTGTCTTAAATATATATGCAACCAACACTGGAGCACCCAATTAAAAAAACACATTTTGTTAGAGACCTAAAAGACAATTCGATATCCACACAATAACAATGGGAGACATCAACGCCCCACTGACAGTATTAGATAGATTATAGAAGCAGAAAATTCACAAAGTTATTCAGGACCTAAAACTCGACACTTGGCCAAACAGACCTAACAGAACAACAATAGAATATACATTTTTCTCGGTTGCCCGTGGCATATACTGTATAATCAATCACACACTAAGCCACAAAGCAATTCTCAACAAATTCAAAATAAATGAAATCATCCCAACTACATGGTCAGACACAGTGCAGTGAAAATAGAAATCCATACCAAGAAGATCTCTCAAAACCACACAATTACATGGAAATTAAACAATCTACTCCTGAATTTGGGTAAACAATAAAATTAAGGCAAAAATCAAGACATTTTTTGAGACTAATGAAAACACACATACAACATACCAGAATCTCTGGGACACAGCTAAACAGTATTAAAAGGAAACTTTACAGTGCTAAATGACTACATGTAAAAGTTAGAAATATCTCAAATTAACAAACTAAAATCACACCTAAGGGAACAGAAAAGCAAGGGCAAACTGACGACAAAGGTAACAGAGGAAAATAAATAACTCAAATCAGAACTGACCTGAATGAAACGTAGATGAGAAAAACCATATAAAATATCAAAGATACCAAAAGCTTGTTCGTTAAAACAATAAATAAGATTGGTATACTGCTAGCTAGACAAAGAAAGTAAAAAGATTCAAATAAACACAATCAGAAATGACAAAGGGGACATTACTACTAATCCCAAAGAAATACAAAAAAATCCTCAAAGACTGTTATGAACACCTCTATGTACACAAACTAGAAAACCTAGAGGAAATGGTTAAATTCCTGGAATTGAGTCTGAAAGAAATTGAAAACTTGAACATACCAATAATAAGTTTCAAAATTGAATCAGTAATTTAAAAAGACACCAACCCAAAAAGTCCTGGACCAGAGAGATTCACAGCTGAATTCTATCAGACATATAAAGAAATTCAGTAGTACCAATACTACTGAAACTATTCCAAAAAATAGAGGAGGAGGGACTCCTCCCTAACTCATTCTGTGATGCCAGCATTATTTTGATACCAAAATCTAGTAGAGACACAATGAAAAAAGAGAACTTCAGGCCAATATCCCTGATAAACATGAATGTAAAAATCCTCAACAAAATATAAGCAAAATATGAATCCAGCAGCACATCGAAAAGCTAATCCACCACATTCAAGTAGGCTTTATTCCTGGGACGCAAAGTTGGTTCAACAGATGCAAATTTTTAAAAATGTGATTAATCACATAACCAACTAGAAACAAAAAAAAACATGATTATTTCAACAGATGCAGAAAAGACTCTCAGTAAAATTCAACATCCCTTTATGTTAAAAGCCCTCAATAAATAAGTATCGAAGGAACATACCTCAAAATAATAAGAGCCATCTGTAACAAACCCACAGTCAACATCATACTGAATGGGCAAAAGCTGGAAGCATTCCCCTTGAGAACTGGAACAAAACAAGGATGCCCACTCTCACCATTTCTATTCAACATAGTACTGGAAGTCCCAGCCAGAGCTATTAGGAAAGAGAAAGCAATAAAAGGCTCCAATAGGAAGAGAAGTCAAACTATCTTCTCTTCACAGACTGCATGATTCTATACCTAAGGAAACGCCGTGTTATCTGTCCAAAACTTCCTAGGTCTCATAAACAACTTAAAGTTTTAGGATACAAAATCAATGTACAAAAATCAGTAGTATTTTTATATATCAATAACATCCAAGCTGAGAGTCAAATCAACATACAAAAAAACATAATATATGTAGAAATCCAGCTAACCAGGGAGGTGAAGGACCTTTATAACATGAATTACAAAACACTGCTGAAAGAAATCAGAGACAACACAAATGGAAAAACATTTCACGCTCATGGGTAGGAAGAATCATTATTGTTAAAATGGCCATACCACCCAAAGCAATTTATAGATTCAATGCTTTTCCTATCAAACTACCAAGGACATTTTTCACAGAATTAGAAAAAAAAACTATTCCAAAATTCATATGGAACAGAAAAGAGCCCAAATAGCCAAGGCAATCCCAAGCAAAAAGAACAAAGCCAGAGGCATCACTCTACCCAACTTCAAACTATACTACAAGGCTACAGTAACCAAAACAGCATGGTACTGACACAAAAACAGATACAAAGACCAACAGAACAGGTTAGGGAATCCAGAAATAAAGCCACATATTTATTTTTACAAATGTGAGAAAATATTTACAAAATATGCATCCACTAAAGGCCCAATATCCAGAGTCTATAAGGAACTTAAACAAATCAACAAGTTAAAAAACAAGCAATCTCATTAAAAAATGGTCAGAGAACGTGAACAGACATTTCTCAAAATAAGACATTCATGTGGCCAGCAAGGATATGAAAAAAATGCTCAACATCAGTAATCATCAAAGAAACACAAATTAAAACATCAATGACATACTATCTTATACCAGCAAGAATGGCTATTATTAAAAAGTAAAAATTAATAATAATAATAACACACGTTGGTGATGTTGCAGAGAAAAGGCAATGCTGTTGAGAATATAAATTAGTTCAGCCATTGTGGAAAGCAGTTTGAAGATTTCTCAAAAAACTTCGAACAGAGCTACCATTGGATCCAGCAATCCTATTACTGAGTATATACCCAAAAGAATGTAATTTATTTTACCATAAAGCCATATGCATGTGTATGTTCATCATAACACTATTCACAATACAAAAACATGGAATCAACCTAGATGCCCATCAACTGTTGACTGGATAAAGAAAATATGGTACATATACACTGTGGAATACTATGCAGCCATAAAAAAGAACAACATAATGCCCTTTGCATGGAGGGTGCTGGAGGTCATTATCCTAAGCAAACTAACACATGAACAGAAAATGAAATAGCTTATGCTCTCACTTACAAATGGTAGCTAAATATTTAGTACATAAGGACACTAAAAAGGGAACAATAGACATCAGGACCCACTTAAAAGTGGAAGGTGAGAGGAGAGTGAGAACTGAAAAACTACTTATCAGTTACTATGCTCATTAATTGGGTGTCAAAGTAATCTGTACACCAAACCCCTGTTACACATAATTCACTCATTCAACAAATCTGCACAAACCCTTGAACCTAAAATAAAAGTTGGAAAGAGAAAAAAAAGGACCCTTTGATTCAGGAAAGGGGTGCAGACATGGTCCATGCTATATAGGACATGCCATAACTGTTGGAGTTCTCTGATAAGTAGTTGTCTTTCCTGCTAGGCTATAAAGCTCTATGATGGCAAAAGTAGTGTCTACTTTCCACATTATTTATACCTCAGCTCTTAGTGCAGTGCGTGACTTATAGTAAGTTCTCAGTAAAATGTGTTGAATAAATGAATTACTTTTCAGTAGCCATTTATTGTTCAACTCGATGAGAGTCAGGCATCAAAGCCTGTACATTTTCTATGTTTGTACCAGGTCAGAGACAAATGTTTATAAAA